CTGGTCCTCGGTCCTGCTGCATGTAAGACTCACTTAAAAAACTTAAGAAATGAAAAAAAGGGGCCACGGCCACCGCCGCAAATTTGGCGACTGGGTATTTCGAGAGGTCTCCCAGTGACGCCGCGTGCACCAACGTGGGGAACTGCTCAAACCTGTTAGTCTGGGAACCTGAGTTCACCCATGTTCTCACAAGGTTACTGAAAGTGTGTTAGTCTTTCTCATCACCGATGTCTGCAAAAGTTCTTTCTCATGAACTCGATTCACCCCATCGGACCCCCTCTTCGGCAGCGTCTTGTGGACTCCAGACACAGAGGTGGGCAGTGCCGAAGCAGGTTCTCACGTTACACAGACACAGCCCCCACTCGAGCGCTTCCCTTTCAACTGTCTGAAGAGCACTGAAAAGGACCCAGGACTGAGGGATGTCACTCTCGAGAGGCTCACTGTATTCTTCTCAGCCCTGACACAGAGGCCTTACAAGAAGGTATAGCTACGATATTTAAAAGGAACAAGTGACTATTTTATCTTGTGTTGGTGTCTCGACACTGTGCGAGTCTTACAGAACTTTCTTTAGCACTACTCGGTGGCGCAGCGTGGGGAGGGCCCCGCCAGAGAAAGCACCTTCACGCCTGCGATCTCGATCATGAACATGGCAGCGCCGAGGACGTGCCCTGCGTGGTAACACCAGAACTTGATCCCCGCCACCTCCTTAACTTCGTGGAAGTTGATGGTCTCGATCTTGTCCATGCTCTCTTCCAAGTCGGTCTCAGTGTACAGCATGTCGTCTGCTGATATGTTACTGTTTGGAAAGATGCGCACAAAAAGAATTAGGGCCAAGACTAAGTCTGCGGCTGACACAGGAAGATACTGTGCGGCTGATGCTACCTAGAGGACATTTTGGGTATTTTTGTCCTCTGGGATTATAGTAAAACGCTAAGTGTGTATAGCTACAAAGCTTTTTTTAAGCAAAGGCCATGATATATTATGGCAAAGCACTCTTCAGGATACTATTTCTCAATCTTTTTTTTTTTTTTTTAAAGATTTTATTTATTTGTGCATACAGAACTGGGGTACAGGCCAGAGGCTCAGGGGCGACGAGAGGCTTCACCAGAGACAGAGTGGGGAGCAGAACAGGCAGATCTACGCAGTACACTGCTGAAGGGAGCAGCGGGGGGGTCAGGAGAGGTCTGCCGCCCATGTGGTCACCTCAGGGGCAGGCAGGGATCGAACTCATGCGGAAGTGGCCTTAGCTTTTCAGTGCTGTGCCTCAACCCGCTGCGCCACCAGAGGGCCTATTTCTCAATCTTTTAAAAAAGATTTATGTATGTATGTATAGAAGAACTGGGGGATAGGCCAGAGGTGGGGGGCGGGGGGTGAGAGGGTTCACCAGACACAGATTCACCAGATCTGCAGACCAGGCAGAGTGGTTGAAATCCACTGCTGAGGGAGCAGCGGGGAGACAGAAGTCCACTGCACCATGTAGGTCACTCCCTCGCTGGTTTCGAACTCGTGCTGAGTGGCTGCAGACAGCCTCACAGTGCTGCACTTTAACCCGTTGCGCCACCAGGGAGGGCCCTCAATCTTTTCTTCTGCCCCACTTCTCCTAAGAGACTCATTCATATATAGCAAACCGCAGAGTCTCACACTGGGGTGTGGAAAGATTTCTCTGTACCTAGCATAACTTTTCTTCTGGAAATTACGCTACATACTGCCAGTAAGGCAAGAAAGAGCAGCAGCTAAGGACACAGACTCCAGATAGCAGATCACTTGAGTCCAGAACTAGCTCTGACTTTCTATGGCCACCAAAGGCAAATTACGTATATAACCTGTCAGTGCCTCAGCGTCATCACCCGGAAAACGGGCTAGGAAGCCCAGAACATAAGGCTGTATGATAAATGCTTAATATAAGTTAAGAGCTAAAGACTATGGCACACGGTAAACACTAAGGGGTAACAGATAATTATTACTAAGAATAACAACTTCATTGTTTTATAATCACATATGAAGAATGATAAATTGCATGTAAGCTATCCCGGAATCGACATGTTCATCTCTACACTTCTGAAGGCCGTAGGTGTCGTGACATGCCCCAGACTTTCTGGAGCACATTTTCCTCCTGCAATTAGAAGAACTGTCCCTAGGGAACCTTTCATGTCGGACAGTCAGTTTGCTTTGATCACATAATCTAAAATAAGATTTCAACATGCATCACCGTATAATATAGTTGGTACTAAATTTACTATGAACTTCTACTTATAGTATATTGCAATCATGTAACTCACTGAAATTACCAAGATTTATTTATTTTAAAAAGTATTTATTTATTTTTGTGCAGATGACCTGGAGTACAGGTCAGAGATGTGGTTGGTGGGGTGGTGGGGTGGTGATAGGATTCACCAGAGACGGAGTGGGGAGAACAGGTGCTGAGGGGAGCAGCAGACGAGATAGGAGAGGTCTGCTGAGCCATGTGGGTCATTCCCTGGCTGGGGACCTCAAGCCATCACAGTGATGGCAGAGGGACTTAACCCTGAGGCCACCAGGGAGGCCCCGGAAACTGCCAAGATTTAAAAGGATGTAAAAATACATGAGGGCTGTCAGGCTAAGAGGTGCTGGGTACACTGGGTTCCCTGGGTACCTTGATGAAGCGTTACTGAGTAACTAAACCAAAGACATCCCTGTGAACAAGAGATTGCCTCACTTCAAAACCCAAACGGTCCCTGACTTGATGCAAATGGCACATAAAACCCACCAAAGTCATTTACCTAACTTTGACGTAATCGGAAAGAAGCCACCTGTAAATAGCTTTTGTGGCATGAGTCATAAATGTTCTCCCTTTGAAACTTGTCTTCTGTAGGAACCAGGGCAACGCTCCACAGTGATCCAAATGGAAACTGAAAAGGAAACAGAGACCGGTCACCTCTAAGACAGCCGCTGTCACTGTGGTGTGGCACTCTGCAGAAAAGCTCTGCGGACCGTCACACCCTCAACAGGAAGAGAGAGAGCAGTGATGCTCTGAGACTCCGGACAGCCACGGCTGTGGTGCGGAGGGAGGACAGCGCGTCGGGTCTAGTGGGAGAACATTCAAGTGGGTCACGTGGGTCTGAACGTTACTTCTATCGCGACAGGGAACAGATCCCAAACTGCCGTCAGCTCCGGCCTGCCGGCAGCGCTCGTGGCAGGAGCTGCCGCTTGGTGTTCCCAGGTGAAGGCCCCGAGGAGACGCGCCAAAGCAGTGGCCTCCAGGAGACACTGCAGCTCAGAGGCTCCCTGGCCTCGAGTGTCACAGCATCAAAGCTCGTGTGTCTCCTCGGTGCTCCAAACCGGCAGGTACATTTCCACAGTAAACCCCTCCGACCTGACCTGCGACAAGCCCTGGAGCGCAGAACCTTGCACTTAATGTGGTAACCAGTGAGCTCTGTAGTAGACGTCCTTGGGAATCAGAGTTGTTGACAGAAAAACACTCACTGACTGATGAGGAGGAGATCAATCTCGGCCGGGTCAATTAAGTCGATGTATGGGAGAGCGTCCATTCCTTCCAGGCCGGGGTGGATCCCACAGTCCAGCTGGAAAGGCGGGATAAAGTTGGGTAAGGACCACCGTCTCCTGCACTTTTTATTAAAATCCACTCGACAGACAGGCAGTATTTGCAAGCGCCGCTAGCCAGCACTCGGAGCGCTCTGACTACAGGCGGCCGGCAGCACTGGCAGCCACTCCCCGCTCGGCTCCAGCGCAGCCCGGGCAGGCCGCGGCGCGCAGAGAAGCTGTCCTTCCGGGCGGCTGTCCGGTCCCTCGCACATCAGTGAGCTCTTCCTCAAAGCTTCTGCTATCAGAAGCTGCATGGGAAGTGTGCGTAAGTGCCAGGTCTACGCCTACCAGAGCTAAGTGTGAAGCGGCGATGCTCAGGAGCGGGAAGCTTCCCTAAGCACTTTAAGGCATTAGGGAATGAGTTGTTTTTTAACAGTTTGTTTTTCAACATGTACAGTTAGAGAACAAAACTCCTAACCGCCAGTCATTACTGAGTTATATGCTCGTTTTTTCGGCTTCACAATGAAATTAACACAGTGAATAGTAAGAAGGCAGCCTGACACCTGCTTGTCTTCTGAGGCTGGGCGCTACAGGAGGTTCCTCTTCTGAGGAACATGAGGCGCCCTGAACTGACTTCCTGAGGTACCTGAGAACCCCCTCTTCTAAGCCCATCCTCCATGTAAGGCAGGGGGCTCAGAGCACCTGCCCAGCCTGGGACTCTAAGGCGAACTCAGTCTCTGCAGGCGTGAGGGGGCGCTACACGTGTCTGGAACTCGGCTCCTTGGGGGCCTCCACAGGGCGGTTAGGATGACAAGTCCCTCAAAATGTAAAGAAGCAGCCATTCAGACCATCCAGTTGACAACTTACAATTCTAGAATATAGTTCTCCAGTTTACTCGACGTCCTGCCAAGTTACTACGGAGAGGTGTTTTAATTTCCACATTAACATGATACAGTGCAGACGACATATACCAACTATGACATTTTCCTGGGAGCTGAAGACACTCAAGCAGAAAAGCCAAACATCCCATGCAGACCACTAATTTGACTATGAAATCCTACTCACCATTATTTTCCTTCCTTTGAACTCCAGAATAATACATGATCTTCCTACTTCCTGTCCAGCTCCACTGTAAACATTTAAGGCGAGTCACATAAATGATTCAAAGACTATCAATACCAAGTCCCACACGTTCAGGCTCTTTTACACCTTGAACGACGCCTCCCTGATGCCAGCACCCACTCGAGGCAGGTAAGATCCCGAAAAACCACACCAGGGAGGGCAGCGTCAGTAGGGGAAAGACAAACCCCCACGTCTGGATTTCAGGGACTCTGGGCTAAGTTGTGATGTATTTAAAACATAGACGAACCCATAAGCATCTCAAAATTCCTTCAGTTTGAGATCATAATGCGCAGTAGCTTGCATTTACATAAGACTTACCATACCTGTGAAGCTCCTCTCTTCTACCCTGTTGTCTCAGTAAGTTTGATACCATGTAGCAAGACATCTAAGTTAGTGAGACTTGATGTGGCTCCGGTGGCCACAGACACACCAACACACCTGCTTTCCAACTCCCTCCCTGTCCCTGATGCCCTTCCCAGCCTCACTTGCTTACTGGACAGTCCCACCGCAGCGAGATGCCTGCCTCAGAGGCCCTGACAAGGCGCTTGGACCTAGGCCCAACGAGATCCAGGCAGACGGCATCCGTAAAGAAAATTCAACAGCCCGCGCCGTCGGCCCTGGCCCTCCGCTCCCAGTGGGGCCGCGGGCACCCTCTTTCCTGTAGTGCCCAACTTGTTTTCTCGTAGTTTCCATAGCAGCTACTTCTAACTTCCCCCTTTCCTCACATCGGGGCGTCCGTCCTCCTTACCTGGGGCACTGGCCTTCGCCCACGTCCAGATGTGGGTTGCTGGCCCATTCCTCCACTTACAACCCACTCGTCCCCTCATCTCTGTCTCCTGGGCCAGGGAGTGGAGCTTTGTTGTCTAAGCTCTCATCATTGCTCCATGGTTCTGGGCTCCCGCCAGGACGAGCTCTCTGCTCGTTACTAGAGGATTTCTACATGCCAGTCATGGGCACTCCCAAATGAAAGTCCCTGAAGTTGAGCCCCTTTTGTCCCTACTGGACCTTCCTCCGGGCCTCTGCTCCCGCCCCTGCACCCCCTGGGCCCTGCCTCCTGCTGCTCTTCTCCAAGCCCTCTTCCCAGAGTGTCCCTCACGGCAGCCCTGCAGCTGGGAAGAGCCCTCCAGGCCTGGTCTTACGGGCCTCGGAGGCTGAGCCCCCACACTCTGGTGCACGTCTGGGCTTCTAGGTCAGGCCCCACCCTGTCCAGCTGGTTTCCTCTCAGGTGCCTTCACTTCCTGCGGCCTCTGTCCACCTGTATGAGGAGCTCAGACTGTCCTGGATGCCAGGCCTCTGACACTCCGGGCGCTCAGTACCTTGGGACGTCACACGGACCCTGCAGTCAAGCACATGGAGCTCGTCTCCCCTCCAGATGCGTCCACGTGCTCCTCTTTGTCCCCGGAATTCTCTGCCCTCAGTGCCAGGTTCCCACGCATCATGTGGGTCTCGGTCCAGGCAAGGCTCAAGGCCTGGTCATGACCACCTCTTCTCACACACCTCCCACACCACCCCCCACTACATGAAGTTACTGTTTCTATTCAAACGGAAGCTCCTAAGCACAGACACCAGCTACTGCAGTCACCGCTGAGTGGTGCGGTGCTGGACACGCGGCCAAGTGGGTTTACTGACGAAGCCCCTTCCACCCCGACTCAGTAGAAGGAGCAGCTCAGAGTCACAGACTGTGTGGCCCAGTCCTAAGGCCTGTCTGGACCAGGCAAGTCTGTGGCGACACTGGATTAGTGGATGCGGGGTTGGGGGGTGGCAGGGGGAGTGTGTGCCTGCTAGTGGAACAGGGTTCTTCTAGCATGATGAAAATGTTCTGGATTAAGTCGTGGCCACGTTTATGTAACTCTGTGAACGCAGAAAAGCCACTGACTGGCACACTGTAATGAGTTGTACGTGCATTTTCTCTCAATTAGGCAGTTATAAAATGACAAAGCTCTATTTCCTCAGGACCCGCCCATCTCCTGTAGGGAGTTAACAGGACCCATCACCAGAGCACAAAGAATGGGGGCCATCCTCCCTGCCCTGGCCCCCCCCCAATATCTGAAAGCTATAAAATCCCAAAGATTTCGTGCCCCCACTCTAACATTCCTTTCCAACCTGCTGCTGCTCATTTCACACATTCCAAGTTCTGGCTGCTTATGGCGCTGATAATTTCATGAACACCCCAGTGGACTCCTACTGCCTCTAGCCTTTACTCTCCCGCCACTTGGCTGCTTAGGAGGGATCCCCGTGATCTCGTGACACTACGATAGAGCCCCACTTGACCCTTCAGTGGCTTACAGGCATGAGAAAGGCCGACAGGCGCTGCAGAGCCTGGACCCCAGGGCCTCTCCCACCTGCCCTGCCACCTGTGAGCCACAGCCGCACACTGACCACTCTCAGTTCAGCGCCTGGACCATCCTGGCCGTCTCTAAGCCCACGCTTCGTGGCTCCAGGAAGCAGGAGACGGCATTCTCTCTCCCATCTCAGAGGCCCCTTTTCTGGAGCCTCCAGCACACAGCGCAACCCTCCCTGGGCTCAGCTACCATTGCTCAGCACTATCTTCCCCCGCACCGGGAGAGGAGCTAAATTACTTCCACAGGAGGAACAGAAGCAGGGAGGTCGCTGTGCTAGTGAGGGACCAGCATCAGGTGTCAGGCCTGACATCAAGGCAGGGGTCCCTTACTGCAACCTCTCTCTGGAGCGCTTTCTTTGCCCTCTTCTTTTGCCTTGCGAGGGTCGCCTAGCCCTAGCCCTCTAGGCCTTACTTGCACTCCCAGGGCCGGTGTGTGCCTGACACCGGCTGTGTCTGCTCAGCCCAGGGGCTGACAGGTGCGCTGAGCAGTGGCAGATGCAGGGTGCTCAGGGCTGCGGTCTAGCCGTCCCCAAAGGGCACATTCCCTGGCTACTCGGCGAGCACCAAGCCTGGGTGTGGGTGCCTCTCTCGGCCAGAATCCCCTCGAGGCGGTGTCGCCTGGGTCACCGCTCTGCAAGCCCAGCGCGGCCCTGGGCAGAACGGGCAGTCTTTCCCCGGCCCCGCTGTCCCCTCCCCCACGTCCACCCCGCCGCTCTGGCGGGGTCGGGGCCACCCTGGCGCTCGCGCGGGCGCCCGAGATGCCGGCCCGGGCGTGAGGAGCAGGCTCGGTTCTGCCGACCAGGTCCTCGGCCCGAGGCGACCACCTTTCGCCTCAGCGGTTACCCCGGGGCTGGCCGTCCTCGGCCGGCGGCGCCCGGCGGCCCCACGCCAAGGGAGCTGCCGAGAGGGAGGAAGGGAAACTCCCGCGCAAGCGGCGGCCCGACCGGCCAGCGG